ACGATGGACGCTTTCAGACTGCTGTTCGCTTCCCACGTCAGACCGAGACTTAAGTATGGTAGTGCGGCGACATATCCCTGCACGGCCGGTGAACTGGCTAAATTGGAGCGTGTACAATGTGCTGCCACTAGACTCGTTGGACTACGCGGGACCAGCTGTGAAGGTCGTCTACAGGCTACTGGTCTGTTCCCAATGGCGTATCGACGCCTCAGGGGAGACCTCATCTGCCTGAGGAAGATCCTGAGAGGTGATATGGGCCCGGAGCTGCAACAGTATTTCCCTTTACGGACGGAGCACCGCACGCGGGGGCACTCTCTCACGTTGAGGAAACTTCAGTCAGTTGATCTTCCGTTAGTCTACCGACTCTCGCGTAGGTCAACAACACCATAGAATTCCCTTCCAGCGATTGTCGTGGAAGAGAAGACAGATGCTGCTTTAAATCGGTGTCTGGATGAGCACCTAAAGGGGCTATGGAGGAATGAACACTTGTGATCGGACCTTCGAGCCAGTGGTGATGGGGCTTACACGGGCACCCTGCCCTCTGCCCTCAATCCTGAAGGCTGAAGATTACGCATGTGATGGTGGCACTCCTGTTTTGCACAGTCGAAGTACGATTTCTTCTTAAAGGTCGAATAGCTCTTCCTTGAAGTTTACAAGGAGAATGAAGGTCTCTGCTGTACGTTCGTTATTCTACAGAATCACTTGCGAAATAAATCGCTCCAAAGTATTGTTTGCTGGACAACTACCGGGAGGAAAGAGCAGTAAATTAGTTTGACAAGGTATTCTTCGAATGAGTGATCAGCGAATACCTTCGAAGCTATGTGGCGCTGACGCCAGTGAGGTGATCACTGTATGAATTCAGTCCAGTTCTGATACACTATCATCCTTTTACCGCCTGGCTGGTCCGAGTTGCAGCCGGTCTCTTTAGGAGAATATCTCAGCTTCTCCGAATCTCCAACTGAAGCTATTCCTGATCAGTTTGGCTTCCTTTCTACATCTCATAATCTCACTGCTCTTCAGGACTTTTCTCTGCAAGAATGTCTTATTTTCAACTTATTTAGGTGTTTTTAGGTTATGTTCACCCTTTCATATTCTTCCTACCCCAATGAACCTTCGTGCATTGATGAACCGCATTTGTAGGGTGAGCACTATCGAGTAACATGGAAGATACTAGCAGATTGCCCGTCCATTAATATTCCAAATACTGTCGGAAAACTCTGTTTGTCCTTCCATAACCATAGCCTGAGGCAATTCATTGCCAAATAGTCTGTTGTTTCTTCCTTTTTTATCAATGTGCCTTGCCCATTATTCTCCATTGCTCCACTGCAACCTTTCCCGGTTTATTTAACAAAAGATTTCATTCCATGTGAGTAATGGAGGATTTGGTTAAATTTCAAGTGGGAATTCGTCTTGTATGTAGGAAATGAAGTGGAACTAAAAAGCTCGGAAGCACTGGACAGCTGTTTCGACCTGGTTGGGTCTCATCAGCAGTGCGAATCCATCGACCAAATCCTCCATTACTCACATGAAATAATCAGTCAGGTTGTGAATGTTTCCAACCGAGTCATAACCCCGGAGGCGAGTGCTGAGTTGAGCAGTGTCCGTGGCCCTCAAGAAACTTTCAAAGATGGGTTATGCTATATCGTGTAAATGGAAAATGAAAAACGGTCTGATCAGCTGCTCGGTGGCGTAGTGGTAGCACGCTTGCGTTCTGCCCATGAAGTCCCGGGTTCCATCCCCAGTCGGGTCGATGCATTCGCACTGCGTGCGTTCTGCCCATGAAGTCCCGGGTTCCATCCCCAGTCGGGTCGATGGATTCGCACTGCTCTTCCATGAAGTCCCGGGTCCGATCCCCAGTCGGGTCGATGGTATTCGCACTGCTGATGAGACCTAACCAGGTCGAAACAGCTGTCCAGTGCTTCCGAGCTTTTCAGTTCACGCTTCATTTGCTATATACACGATGAATTCTCATTTGAAAAGATTTCATTATTAGTCATAGACTAGCCATCATCGGCCGCATTTCACTTGTCCCACACTATACGATCTCTATATCGGTTTTTTTGTTCATGAAATCTTCCTTGATCACACATCCCCCCCCCCACTCTTTGATTCCGACTCATTTGCCAGTCCTTCCCATCCTGGGTGAAATTATCGAATCGCTCCGACAAGAATTTACAAAAATTCCCTTGTTCCACATTTGGTCCGTATGCTTTCGGGGCTTAGATGGTCGGTTCCCATTATTGCACAGTTCACTCTTTCTAACGTTAATACGATCACGATATGCGATGTAAATTATGATTTATCCCTGAATCATTTAACAACGGACTACAACTCTTCATAATCACAACTGTTATATTTGATTCGCACATCAAGGATAGTGTAATATCAAGGATAAAATCATACATTGAAAAAAAAGGCGATGCATCACACACAGGCTACAGTAATTTGATATTCGGTATGATAAAATTGTGACAGATTTACACAACGTCTGTAGCGTACTCCTTGAAATAGGGTCTCCAGTTTTGTTTTGTTATCCTTTTTTGCTAATAGAGCCACAACGGGGGCTACTGGATATTGGATAGTTGTGGTTTAGTGATTCAACTCGTGGTCATTCGTGTGGGTAAGGTCCCAAATTCGAACCACGATCGGAATTTTGTTGGTTATCAGCCTCAGCCGCCTGGCTCAGTAACACACCACCCACACCCTTGTTGCAGCCCTATCCAGTTCGTCAATCCAAGAAATCGAACTTCATCTAAACAGAAACAACCCGCTCTTACAATTATGCAGTAGGGTGAACGCTATTTAGACGTGAAATCAGCCGCTGGAACCAACCAGGGTAACCTAGCAATAACGTCCATTTCTGTATAATCCGGTTTGAGTTGCCATAGGTTCGGTGCCCATAGACAAACCGGATGGGACAGCTTCAAAACTTTTCACTGGCATGTTGACAATACACGATGAGTGAAACGGTATAACGTCAAACTCGGTACCACACACTTCCGTGCAGGGCATTCAATTCAGGTACCAATATCAAATCTATAGTCAAACTACAATCACCTGCTTCACCGGCGTTGAATATGTTTACTTAATGGAGAACCAGCCCGGTTCATCAAAACGACTGGTATATCGTACATTAAACTCCGGTACAACAATATTTGTTTTAATTTTATTCCATCCGGGAAAAATTTCTTCCGGGGAAATGGTCCAATAAACCACATTCGCTTACACTAATCTAACTCCATCAATGATATAGAAGTAGCGTACATATTTGATTGCTCAGTTCGATAAAATCAAATTTCTCTTACTCACTCACTCACTGTTCGCTAAGCCGGGAATCTTGTTTGCAAAGAGTTCACCCCATTCCACCCTCATCCCCCGGAAGGTACTTGTCCCAACACAACTGCAATACTGATGGTTGTCTACAAAGGGAAATTGGTAAACCCGTGCCAAATCGCACGCGTTTGTAGTCTCACCCCCACGATAGTGACGAAATGTCTGCGAACACTTTTCCCAGCTCAACGAATGAGCGAATGAGCCAACCGGAGAGCAACGAGTTGGTTTGATTTTCGGAATTTTATCAACTACTACAACTGTTTTCTTTTATCTTCAACCATAGATGAGATGACAGTCGTTAGAACTCAGGTGGACAAGCCTGGACAACAGACATGCACGTATAACACTGAAGTAATGAACGACAGCGCACAGCTCTAGACCCATCTGTTTCCCTAGCTGTCAACACGTGCCAGCCAGAGAAGCGTCAAATTCACTTGGTTTGTGTGAGAACTGACAGTTACTGGGGTCCGGGAAATTTCTCTCAGCTAGTTATTAGGTCAAATCAAAGACCGTGAACAACAGTTCGACAAACTGGAGTGATCGTTTACTTCTCCGCAATATATATATATATTTATATATATATAGTTTGAAAGTAGAGAAAAAAGCACCCATCGGAACGGAAAACACAGAAGAAGGAGCGGGGAGAATGGAGACGGACAGGATAGGAGGGGACAACAATACGCCTTAAACCGTTCATAATACACTACCGTTCATGATCAGTGTCCGATAGATCCAATTTCAAATCAGTTAAGAGCGTAGAAATTAAGAACAAATTTTAGCTATAACAACCATTAGAAACTTCATTGTGTGTGTGTGTGTGTGTGTGTGTATGTGAGCGAGCGAGCGAGCGAGCGAATAGGTAGGTGAGGGAACGCGGGAAAGAGATTGCACACTCATAGGAGTATGGAGTTGTGTACGGGTGAAATGTGTGTGTGTGTGTGTGTGTGTGTGTGTGTGTGTGTGTGTGTGTGTGAAGGGAGAATCGTGATTGGACAAATGCAAACGCCTGAAGAATAAGAACACCTTGCGCTCGATTAATCAATGCTAAATAAAATTCGGATACAATGAGAACATAATGTTAGTAAAATGAAGAAAAAACAACCCTAATCGATATGTACAGAAATGATAGAATGATAAGTGTGGGCTAATGGGAGGGGGGAGATGAAACATAATTGGAATTGCTGGGACAACGTGGTTAGCATTGTGTGTGTTGATGTTTGTGTTTGTCTGTTTGCTTGTTTGTTTGTTTGTTTGTTTGTTTGTTTGACTAACAAAGCAAGCTTATATTACTAGTAGTAGTTGTTGTGTTAATAGTACCAGTAGTAGTCATTCTTTGGATTTGTTTTTAATAAAAGCAGCGGTTGAAAATGCGTGACAGTGTGTTTGAAACATCACCTGAAGAAGTTTTGGCAAAGGCATCTTATACAAGCAGCAGAGAAAGAATGGGGAATAGCCCAAAGCCCGAGTGTGTGAGGGAGCGAGAAATAGGGACAATGGGAACGATCTCCGAACAGCGGCAACTGTTGCTGTTACTGCTACCACCGCTTGAATGCAACGTGTTCGAACAAAGAAGTATCAAGGCCACGAGCCTGGGGTTTGTCAGTGGGCGCAGTAGCGGAGGAGGAGGAGGAGGAGGAGGAAGTGCGTTTATCAACGGCATAAACAGTTCACAATTCTGGCGGAGGTATACTGTGCAAATAGGTTAGTTCGCCAGAGTCCCTAGAGGTGGTTGTTCTGGAGTGTTCGGACAACTTAGCAAATTTCGTTTCCCCTTGGACAGCCGAGCTAGATTTGGAACCAGAGCTCACTTCATCTGAAGTATCCAGAGTATCACCAACCATTTCGCCGTGTGTTCCGAATCCAGCCGAAGGTCGGCAACTGTTGCTGTGCGTATATGGATTTGGCTCCGATGAACCTTCTTTGCGAAATTCAGTTAACATGG